TAATCAATTCGTACGAATTATAATAGTAGGTTTTTACCCTTTTAACTGGTACAAAACTGACACCTTTATTACTTTAGTGAAATTACTTTAGTGAAAAAAAAGATGCTTGGTCGAGCCCGCGACCGGAGGAAACTGGGGTTCTGAAAGAAAACCAATTGTGCAAATGAGGCCGCACAGATGGATTAAGTCGACCTGCTGCATAACTGTCACATCTTGGCTACCGCACTGCCGATCCCATTAGCAAGTTTCACAAATCTCGCCTCCAAAGCACCGGATTTGCAGCCGTGCGCCACCACCACCGCCACCACCGCCACCACCGCCGCCACCACCACCGCCACCATCACCACCGCCACCACCGCCGCCACTGCCACCGCTGCCACCACCGCCACCACGACCACTACCACAACCACCGCCGCCACCGTCGCCACCACCGTCGCCGCCACCACCACCACCGCCGCCGCCGCTACCACCACCACCGCCACCACCACAACCACTACACTCGTCCAGATAATGGGAATAACATTGTTTTTGTTATCGTGATATTGAACACCAGATGTAGACGACACATTGCCGGTCATTAACACGCTCAGTTGTCGGCTTGTATTGCTATTCGGTACGCACCGATTGGGTTCTCAAATTACTCTTCCCACGGCCAGAACGCGACGTGGATGCACACTCGCCAAAGCATCTCCCTCATTGAAACGACAAGGTAAAGTTACACTTCACGCGTTGTTGATTTACGTTTACCCCCTTCGACTGGACCAGCGGTCGACAATCCAAAAACAACGAGCCATTTTATTATTAATTCATAAAAAAAAAACTCTCAAAATTTCAAGAGCCGCAATGCGCCGTGTTGCGAATACGAGACGGTGGTGGACCTTGATCAATAACCGTCAGGAAGAGGTTCTTTAAAGAGGCGCGCCGCCGCATGTCGCTTCGGGGCCACAGGCTGCTGACCCCTGACCTGGACACTGGGAGGGCATGGTCACGTGCATGAGGGCAATGGCTGCCACCTGTCCTGGGAAGCAAAAGCTGCCGTCCCACCACACCTGTGGG